TAGCCATCAACGGTCGTGTTACTTATTACAAGTGTTACTTACTTGAGAGATTCGAAACTACTTTCCTGAAAGACTGCAGCGCTGTCGCCAACGTTTCCTGGTTTTCTACGGCGTAGAAAACAAGTTTAAAAATGACGAATACAGCGATAAAAGTAAACAACTGCATGCCCGATTGCTGCTTTTGTCGTCATAAACAGCTTCAATAGCAGAGCAGCCGAGGACTGTGATGTCTGCCGCAAGAAGCAGCGCCCTCAGACTAATATTAGGAAAATGTCAACACTGCTGCGACAAATGATGCATTTTTCAATGAAGAAATGCCAGGCTTTGAATTATTTTAATTATCTGAAGCATCTAAGGGCAATGCATGGTTCCCATGCGAAAAAATCGGCACTGAATTTCCGTTCTACTTTGGCCGTTTCATCAAACCAAGCAGTGCGCCGTTCTTTGAATCTGTCTGGCAATATTCTCAATCCACTGGATATTACACTGCCGTACCATCGGATCTTGAGTAAACTCTGCTCAAAGGGTTGTTGGGATGAACTTCATGATATATCATGTCAGCTGATATTTTCGAACGGCAAAGAAGATACAGAAAATATGGCTACTGTTATTTTCGTAGCAGCACTGATAATGTGACATGACTATGTTTAACATAACTTCCGAAAATTAGTTTACGCCAGAAAAATTTGCGGTTAATTTCCAAATCAATACCACAATCACTAGCTACGAATGAATTAAAGTAGATTGCATTTGTCAGTCTTGAAGAAGGAAGAGAAGAAAAACGAAGAAAAAGGAGGAAGAAAAAAGAAAAAAATGAAAGATAAGAAGACGAAAGAAGCCACACCTGCTGATTATCACATTGAATAAGCAACTATCAGATGGGTCCAGGCAAACTCCATGAAATGCTCGAGCCAGATAGCATGAGTGTATCTCTGATCATTTGTGGCAACACGATTCCAGGAAACCATGCTACTCCGTTGTTCGCAAAGTCAAACATTTATTATCCGCTATTTGGCTGGTTGCGCCGAAGAAACATGAGATCAATTCTTCGCTCATGGGAATCAGCGGTTAAGAAGAAGCTCATACTTTTTTGCACTCGAACGCGGCACTTCTGGAGCTCGAAGACCCTTTCGTTACTGTGCCTAAGAAATCTGTCGTTAACCTTTAGAAACTTGACTAAAGAAGCACTGATAAATGAAATTTACGGAGATTCTTGCACGTTTCAAGGCACTCCAACATAGGATAAAGGCAAGGTAAGTAACAATCGGAAGAGTAGTAGGGACTGCAAAAGTATTAATCCCTAAAATGGAGGAATGGTTTTTTTTACCTTGCCGAGGTCGATTTTCTCAATAGAAGACGACGCTTATTAGACCAGGAGGAAAAACTTATTGATGATGCTGGTTAAACCCAGGACATAGAGAGAAAAGAACATTACCGACACCATTTTAATTATTGAAACCAGAGAAACATAGAACAAAGACGTCATAAAACACTGCCACTCCACTGAACAGAGGAAAACACTTATTGTCCTATCTCGAGATCCTGCACCTGCGTTGCTGCTCACTCTCCTTAACGCGAATATAGAAATCAGATTTGTGGAACAATGATATATTTAAGAACCACTTAAACTGGCAGGGTCCAAACAAGCTTAAGTACATTCGCATATCCAAACAGCGCAAAGCAGTTTATTTATAACAAAGCAAACAATATGGGCAATCGGATGAATGAACAGTAACGGTCATCTGACTCCATACTCTTTCTGTCGTGTATAAACCGCGAACCGTATTTTATGCTGCTTTCCGCATTACCACCAACAAATACGGAATACTCAATATTCGCATCTAAATGACATTAATGGGCCGAAATCAAATAACAGCACAGGAATAAAAACAGTTAAAAGCCCGTAATAAACTTTATAAGAATCTAACCTGATATCGGTGGAGCTCTCGAAACCTCTTAGGTCCTCTTCTTCAATGTATTATTACCCTGCACTACTGCTCCAACACAGCTAAATTATTAAAAGTTCCCTCATGAGTTCAACTGCGTTTGATTTCTGAATCATATTATACTAGCTTCATTGTTTAGTATCAGGACATCTATGATTCTCACATGCGTATTCATACCAATTTTTCAAAATACCCACCCGGTCACGCTATAAAATCAGTGGAGAGCGTTCCGTGAATACTCTAGCAAATAAGTCACGTTTGGACTGCGTTTATCAGCAGTGCATGTCGCCTACGTTCCTAGGCTATGCATGACTACAAAACACTACCTTGGCTTTAAGACTTTGTAAAAGCACAAGGTGCAATCAAGGTAAAGAGTAATGGCTGTAATAAAGACTGATTGAACTACATGCCGTGGGTGACAACTCACTGCAATAAATGTAAACCATGAAAATCAAAACTTTGACAAAAGCTGACGGTATGCCCGTAGTCAACTATTCATCAACATGTGACCTGATAGGGCAAGTAAGAAATTGGGAACGGACGGAAAATTACATCCATAGAATTTAAGCTTAGATATACATCGTTCAACAAATATAAGCAACAGAAAAATGAAAAAAGCTACCACAAATTAGTTCCTTTATCGCTCAACAGGAAGATAATTTGTGCCAAACAAACCAACATTTTTAATACCTGTGACTAGGTTTTCGACTTCTTCGGCGGCGGCGGCATAATCTTTTTCAAGCTTTTCTTTCTGAAGCTGCTTCTGTGAAGCAGACGGACTAAAATACAAAAGATTATAGGTAAAACGAAGGGCGACGATGAATCGCTTCGTGATGTGCATCTGAAGCTAAGACAATATTGTCACAACGTCGATTATGTAAATAATGCTAAGCGCAAAACACGGCTTATTCATAAACAAAGCAAACAATTTGGTCAATTGGATGATTGTGTAGTACAGACGTCCTGGCCCGTATTTCATGAACCTAAGACAGAGATGAGTTAGTTTCGGAAGTCTTTCTCCTGTGCGCAGTGCGTCGTACGTTTAGACAGAAGGTGAGCCTTTGGTCTGTGCTACTGGGTAAGTTTTTCGGTGACAGGGGCGACAAGGCTAATCAAATCCGCACTGAGTTCATATTCTTTGTCCTTGTTGAACTGTCGTATTAATAGACGAATAATGCCTCCTCAACATGCATATTCAACCAGTGTCTCTTTTGATGACGCAGGTGTACTGCAATCATAAGGGGTGTGTCCTTCCTATGTCACGTGTTGCGCAATCTCGTAATTAAGTCTTTTTGCATTTTCATATTTTCCTTGAATTGGCTGGCGGGGGGGGGAGGTCTTGTTTTCTTCACAGGTGCTTCCTCATTACGTCTAGCTCACGTTCCTCTGTGATCATCCAGTTTGACAGCTGGTCATTGAACATTGAGCGGCCGTGTTCCCAGTTTCTTCTGTGTAATATTTCCCAAGTTACATCGCAATTTGTAATCCAAGTCTAGTGAAATAGCCTATTATTCTAAGTTATTTAATAAACTGCTAAGTAACGCAAATTTTTAATAAAGTTTTCATAAGGCTGAACTATGCATTTCATTATTTAAAATATTATTATAAGTGTTACAAGTCAGTTTAAAGTACGTTATTTTACGGTTTATAATATTATTAACGAACCTAACTAGGTAATTATCATCACGTAAGGTTAATTTACTATGTACCATTTCTCCTCAAAGGAATTCATTACTGCAGAGCTTCAGAGCTCAAATAATACTGATACTACTATCTAGAAGTAAAAATGAGAAATTTCAACCAGTATCCATGATAGGTTAATATTGTACAGTGCGAATTGCTGAGTAATGTTAAACTTATGGTTATATGCACTGCTGTTTGCCCACAACACATTCACTGCGACCTTCATGATGGAAAATGACAATTCTGGAAGAAAAATAGACTGAAGTAACTTCTAAATTCATCTAAACAATTCGCATCTCAATTCTCAGAAGATCTGCCGCTGCTAGTACTATTGCACGAGCACCTAACTGACAAACAACTGAAAACAGTTATTTTGTCATTGACATAGCTGACAAACTTTTCCTGATAATACTGCTGGCCTTAACAACAAATGCCGTTAAGCGAAATAAGATTTTACTTACTAGTTCTGTCAGTGGACCCTGAACCATGAAATAACAATAGGCGCTGTTCGAAAGTAGGATCAGGCTTAAATGCCTTCTTTTCTACGCAGAAAAAGTTTTACTTGTCTACATTCTGGTTTGCTTACTAATAGGATGAATGGATATGAAAGTGAATGAACGACAGTGCTAGACTAGTACGACAGGCAAACTAGTACAACAGTCAAATATGTTAAGGTAAATTATTAGAATGTTTACAGGTAAATACATACATACACACACACACACACACGCACACACACTAGAATAAGTAATGCATAACACAGCACAACTTGCAATGACGTCTCATTGTGCAAAATTGTCTCTGATTGGAATAAAACAATGTGAATACCTGGTTGTCAGAGTACGAACCACATCCACGAGGAGACCACTCTGAAGATGAAATGACGGTAGATGCACGAAAATAAAGTATGATATATGACTCACCGGGCGTAAATCTGACGACTTTATATTTTTTCGTGGAGGGCGCTGAGGCTTCGCTGCCATGTCGAAACTGTTCGTCAGCAAAAATTGGAGAAGAAGCGGGCTTCGAACTCTTGTTCACTTCAAACAGTGATGAACAGCTTCACCCTGACAAAGAATTTAAATGTAAAATAAACTCAAAAATCATCAGGGAACTGCGTCAGCGGATGCAAAGATACAAAAGAATTTTGCCATTCGAAAGAACAAGCCAACTGTGATTCAAAAATTACTCCTAGTGCTGATTAAGCGATTCTGATTCACTGGTCACAAAATAAATACTTTTTACAATGTAACACAAATTCAACTATGGAATCAAAAGACATTCCGTTAATGGAAATATTCTCCAGACAAAGAATCAGCAAGATCAGTGTCACGGACTGTCGAATTCTGGAGAAATGCGTGTCGCACATGATTTGATATTACCAGGCAGGTGAGAATCGATGCCAAAAAGTTGATGGGGATGTGAAATTCTTTTATCACTGGAGAAATGACGCCAGTAATTATATTGCGGCAAAGTGCACTTTGGAAAATGATTCCTCCGGCAGCACTACGCTGCATTTAAACGGAGCCGGGAAACTGATCACAAAGACATGCGCGCAGAGTGGCAAAACAGATGAAAACAGAAAACAGTTTATTGCCTACGAGTAATCCGCAAGTCACGAAGGTGCTTGCTGATATATAATAATATTTGATTAAATTTCTTAGACAAAATGCTGATGCTACATGAAGTAATATTTAAAAACGCCTAAACTGCATAGCCGTTGTGATCTTTGTCCGGTGCACAAGCAGTTGCGGAGAAACAAAATTTGGACTACACGGCATATTCATACTTATCACAACATAAACAGATTAGAGTGCCCCTGAAACATTATGTGGAGACAAGGCAAATAAAAAACAGCAACTTTATATATCCAGGAGCTCTGAGGACACAGTTAGCACGGCACCATCTGTATGTCTAAGACACTGATATGAAAGACTAGTTAACAGACAAAGATCTTCAGTAGAAAATATGAAACTGCCAGCATTCATAACGCTGACCTGA